TCTGCCGACTGGGAATCGGCCTCGGACCGCGGCAGCCCATCGTTTGCCAACAACCGACCCTACGCTCCAGGCGACGACCCTCGCTCGTTTGCCTCGCGCGCCGGCACCAACGGATTCCCTCCTCGTCGGGGCTCGGGCAACGCCACGGCGCATCCCTACACCTACGACGACGGCTATCCGTCGCAACCGGCCCCTTTGCCGGCATCCGCATCGTCCGCACAGCCGCCGCCGCCACCGCCGCCACCAGGGGTCCGGCGGATCGCCAGCGACGCCCGCGGCTACCCCGACGCTCCTTACGACGCAGAGCGCCGGGAACCATTGCGACGGGGAGGCGAGACACCACCTCCGCTGCCGCCCTCGTCGCGGCCGCTGAAGCGCAAGCCCTCGTTTGACGATGGGCCGGCGCCGCAGCGTCGCACCATGTACGACCCGGCGGGCGTCGCTCCGTCGAGGGAGCGCGAAGCACCGCGCGACTATCACTACCTCGACCGCCCTGCGCAGCCGCGCTCGTACGCCAGGGGCCCCAGTTCGCCGGAGCGGGACGTGCGAGCGCCGTACCCGCCGGCGTACGAGGCGTCGTCCTACCCGAGCCTGCCACCTCGGTACGCAGGCGACGTCGAAGATCCTCGCTACTCGCCTCGCCACCGTCCGCGCTCACCCCTGCCCGCGTCCGCGCTCGGCCCTTCCGCCGCCGCAGTAACATCCTCGGACATGTACAAGGGCGGGCGGTACGGGCAACACTACGACGCATCCGGGCCGGCAGCACCGGGCGGATACATGGACCGACGCAGCGGTGGCCGCTACAGCCCGATCAACTCGCCGTCCTACGCTGCCCGCCGGGCGGTGCCGGCGGCGTCGATGCCCCCGGGTGCCGCTGGTAGCCTCCCGCCCCCTCCGCCCGGCGCCGACTACTACGGCAGCAGCGGACCGCCAGCGCCGCGCTCGGGCTCGCTGCGACACCGGTCGCCGCCGTATGCCCCCGACGGCCGGACCTATGCGCCCCTCCCGTCGTCTGCGGCGGCCGGGCATCCGCACGTCCGCGGTCGCCGCGGCTCGCCTCCGGTCGAGGCCATGGTGCGACGCTCCGTCAGCCCGGTCCCCGCCATGCACATGTCCAAGGAGGCCTTCTACCCCGACCGCCGCTTCTACTACCCGCGCGAGCGCATCGAGGACGTCGAGATCGACGAATACTACCACGACGGCGCCGGCCGCGCCCGGATCCCGAGGGGTCCCCCGTCGCAGTACGCACCGGCAGCGTCGGCGGGCCCACATCCCTACCCTTCGTCGCAGGACCCCTATGGCCCGTCGCCCTCGGCCTCGTTCCTGACGCCGCCCGCGCCGCTCGGCGCGCATCAGCCCGGTTTGCGCGGACACCCGGCCGCCATCCCGGTTGTCGTGCCACCGTCGCACTCTTCGGTACCGTCGGCTCACCACCAGTACCACCCGCAGCACCACCAGCCCCCCCACCACCACCATCCTCACCACGACCCGCGGCACTATGGTCACGGGCACGGCGGCGGGCTGGCCGACTACGAGATCCGGCACGACCTGCCACCCCCCAACCGGCCGCACTCGGTGGTGGGCGTGCCGCCTGTGCCCCTGCACGTGCCCCCGGGCCCGGCGTCGGGCATCGCGCCGCCGCCTCGCCGCCGCGGCAAGCTGCCCAAGCCCGTCACGGACCTGCTCAAGTCCTGGCTGCTCGACCACGCCAGCCACCCGTACCCGACCGAGGACGAGAAGCGCTCCTTGTGCAGCATGACGGGCCTCACCCTCCAGCAGGTGTCGAACTGGTTCATCAACGCTCGCAGGCGCATCCTCCTCCCCGGCACCAACGGACATCCGGGCGGCGGAGCCACCGCGGAGCAGGTCCACGCCGCCTTTAGCCAGGACTCGGGCAGCGAGGGCTAGCCCAAGCGTCGAAGCGACGCAGCGACGCAGCGCTCCGTTTTTCATTCTCGCCTTTCCCCTTGTCATAGATGCACGCATCCCCGCCCCGCGACCCGGCTGCTCCCGCCGCGCCGGTTGTGTCGGCTCCGTCTGTCCCCTCTTCGATACCTCTTTCTCCCTCGTCCCTCGCCCGGAAGCTGTACACGCCTGCCCTTCCCATCTTGTCGAGGCTTAGCAGAACCCAAGTCGTCCATAATCGCCTCTATTGCATGCACAATCATCCCCGTCTGCGATCGCGCATCGCTTTCCTGCCGCCCGTCGTTTGTCTCTGCCTCTGCATCCACGTCCGTGTCCGCGTCCGCGTCCGCGTCCGCGTCCGCAACTTCAACTGTGCTCACCTGAGTGCATGCCAGCCAAGCGAAGGAAGCACGTTGATGCGAGCGAGATAAAGGACGCAAAAAGAAGAGCGAAATTGAGATACTCTGGGATCGAACCCAAGCCCTCCGCTACGAGGGTTACAAGGTGTCTTGAGAAATAAACCAAGTAGGGCTGCATAATGAAAGTTGTTCAAAAGTCATTTCTGAACAACTTTTGAATAGTAGCCCTACTCAGTTTAGACTGCCAATTTTCCGGTAGACGCTCCGCAAAAGTGTGCGCTTTTGGGGTCGGA